CCTCATTCTACGTTAACTGATATCCATTTGCCGCAGTGTTTTTCTCAATATCGGAATGTTTTGGTAGGGTGACTTTGTGTCATAGATTTCAAAGTTATCAATCAACTGTTGACAGCTCGCGATCATCACCAGTATCGTCATAACTTTTTGGAAAATGGTGATTTTTACTTGTCTCTTGGTTAGTTTGTCACATCACGCCTGACTCACGGCGAGGATATGAAAGCGTCTGTACCAAAGCTAGGCATCCTTCTGTGTTCACAGGGACTGTAATAGAAGATCAATAGACTATAAGATACCTTGTGTTGGCCAGCCGTTGCTTTCTTGTCACTTTTGCAAATCTATGTTCTAGAGTTACCTCCCATGTGTTATATTCCCATGACGTGCCAACAGGCCAGTGATATGCAACAGCTTTCATTGATGTTTCGATTTATACTACAATATGTCAGGAATATATCAACAAAACATTATATAATCTTTCAAATTGCATAACTATGGTTAACGCCGCTTTTAACAACATTACAGTTAAAACTCGCGGGAATGTAAAGACAAGATTGATGTCATGACTGTTTTTCAGTGATCCATTCATATAATTTTCACCTCTTTGTTCCTATAATTCCCTATGGAATCTGTTTCGGCATGTATTTGAGACTGATTATTTTCTGGCGTTGACGTGTTAAATTGATACATTGTACGACAATGTGCGTAATAAGACAACCTTAACAAATTGGTCGCCAACTGACCCTTATTCGTTTTTAACTTGATATTCATCAAATATAATGAAATAAAGTTTTCTTTCTGAAGTTGAGTGAGAACATAATCAAACTTCTATCTGTATTAGGCCCTTGCCATTGAGAGGTCCAAACTTTAATAAAACGTCAATAAATCAAATTAACTTTTGTATACATTAATCATAGACTGGATGTTCATGAACATAGAAAATACTGTTATCCGAATAACAACTTATATAACTAAATATGTCGCTGAATATTATAGTGGCCATATAGTATGTTAAATGACCATTCGATACATTGAGGCGCTATGATGCATTTAAACTGTGATTGTAGATGAAGCATGCTATTCGGAAAGTAATTGTCTATAATTGGCGAGCACCTAAGGAAAATGTTCCTCTCTTACAAGAACATGTATAGATCCACAAGGAGAAAATGTTCCTCTCTTACAAGAACCTGTATGGATCCACAAGGAAAATTTCCTCTCTTACAAGAACCTGTATAGATCCACAAGGAAAATGTTCCTCTCTTACAAGAACCTGTATAGATCCACAAGGAAAATGTTCCTCTCTTACAAGAACCTGTATAGATCCACAAGGAAAATGTTCCTCTCTTACAAGAACCTGTATAGATCCAAACAGTAAACATTGAATGAGTAAACGGTCCACGTCATTAAGATGCCATGACACACTATCAACGTAACTACGCATTTTGACAACGCTATCCTTAGTCTTAGTCGACTTTTAGTTTCACGTCTTTGTATGACGTTTAGAAGTGATACACGTTAGAAAAAGATGCTAGCTATATGACGGTGGTCTGTAAATAATCGAGTCTGGACCAGACAACCCAGTGATTGACATCGTGAGCATCGATCTTCGCGATTGACATACGATGACATGCATCAACCAAGTCAGCGAGCCTGACCATCCAATCCCGTTAGTCTCATAAGCATGGATTGCTCAGAACCAATTATAACCCGGATATTCACGGGAACGTCGATTTTTAGTATTGGTTGGGCACTAGGGGCCTTTTCTTCCCAGGAATACACACCGGGTTCTTGTAACGACTCTGCCTGAATATGATACCTGCTTGATTTATTGATAATGTATCTTTAAGACAGCCTGCGATGGGAATCTGCAAGTTGTCCCGAACTTACTTAGATCCAGTTCTGGTGTCTTTACTGGATATGCACGCTGAATTGTTAAAGATGGGTTAAATTGTCTTCCTTACCTATTAAAGTATATTGTCTATTGCGGTTAATCATTGACTCCGTGGTATTTTCTGTCTTGGACCGAGAGCGGTTCGATGCGTTCTGGCAAATGATCAGCACGTCACTTGCTACTATCGTCACCATTCACCCATCCCCTACCGGAGGCGTGATCCCAAAGTGATTTACTGACAGGCGTTAGTAACGTGAGGCGTTCTCTACATGTTGGTGTCTGTAGGGGCTCTGTAACATTGTCAATAATTCACACGTGGGCGATCATACAAACCTAACACAAAGTGTCTGAATATTCTGTATGTGTTATCTCCATTGTGAGAACTTGACAATGACCAGTCTTGACTGTTTGATTGGAATAGTACTATTAGGTTTTGCTGAAAGGCGACCTTTCACGACTAAAATCCTTTATTGGATATGCTTATCTTGCATGTGTTTGTGACGGGTGCCATCAGTGGGCCAGGATTAGCACACCGTTTCACGAAAACCTGGTATTATCACCATTGATATTTCTTCATAAATACATGCTCATGATAAAGTCGGAATCGTACAATAGGGTCTGCTTTCATCAGAGATTTCTCATGATTATGGAAAGTGTTTTGTCGCTGTTAAGGCATGTATATTTTCCATATGTTTGAGTTATTGATCTGTTCAATTTTGCATTAAGCATGTCGTTTTGCGTTGGATTCTGAGTTCAAATTTTACGAAGAATCGACAAATGTTTCACACATATACCAAGTGGCGTTGGAATGACACAGTTTATCATCCACATGGATCTTAACAAAATTGTTTCTTTCAATTCCTCCACACATTATTTCTACATCCTTTGTTTCGTTTTAACTTCAGTTGGCGTTTTTCGGTTCCGGAATTTAAGGAACTTCCCAATTATTGTTTTCTCACGCAAACATCGAAACAGCTGAGGCAGGAGAAAAAACGTACACTGGTCCCTTGACATTTGTCATATTGTTATTACTAGGCCCCTGCTCTGCTAATTACGTGCTACACTCAAGTACGATCTTTAAATTTATGTAGTACGCAAAAATTTCAAATAGAATTTAAGTATTATGTATATGCAGTTTGAGCGATTTCCAAGCATAGTGCGAACTGTAGCCACTCTGCTGAAGCAGATCGAAATTCATGGAATATTTTTTTACCAAAATAAATAACGTCGAAGAGTAAGGTTATTGTAAATTCTAATTCTAAATGACAGTTATTCGTGAATATTTGAAAGCTGTGCTTCAATTTACGTTGTAAGCAAAACACGTCTTCAGGTATTTATGTTATATCATAAGCAAGCAGTTTGGGGTCGAATTATGACCCAGAGTTAATTATCTTCTTGTTATTATATGTATGCTTGATAAATATATCCACAAATGCCCCTCGTAGTTTGAAGCAACACTGACAGGTTGCCACGTGAAGATGGTGTTTCGCTGCAGGCAGAACTCGGCGAGTTAATCAACTTTGCCAAACCGTTAATCACTGACAGTCGTGTTAATTAACACTCACTTTGAGGAGCATTAGGAAAACCTGACTACACAGAGCACCACGGGATATCATTGTCTTCTGTACAGCATTCCATGGATAGTTAAAACATGTACATTGCCAATTTTGCTGTTTGTGCTGTTAATGGTGGTGCCAATATTAATTTATACTTTAATATTTTGATAAAATATGCGTTTGCTAACTAATAAATTAGTGCATGTTTGTATGATGTGAGGGGCTGGCATTTATTATAGGTGGCGGGGATTGGTCTTAGAACTGTATCATATTTTGCCCCCTCTTTCGCGGTCCTTTTGTCATGACTCCCATTCACCCAGTCACCCGCCTCCCATAATAAGTGACCAGTCCCTGAACAGACTGAGTGAACATGATCGAATATTTCGACATCCTTTCCAGCATTTCCTTGTGATCAGCAACCCTATAGATATACATGTTGTTGTATCCATTTCGAATATGAATAAATCTGTATACAAGATCAAAGATGTCCTATACTTTCATCGTCTAATGGACTGAATGTACATCTAATGCCAACATTGTTCTTTGCTCTGCTGGTGTTGGTAAATATGTTAGATAGACACTGTGGGAGGTGACATGTAAGAGGTTTACATTTCAAATATTACCAATCTGCTAATAACAGCACCACTCTGTTTGTGTGTATCGTGTGCCGCCGCCAAGCACTTAATACCCGAGTTCGGAAAGACGCGGACGTGGGAGAAGACAACCACTACAAAGGCCTGCGATTGGTCCGCTCCGTAGTTGTCAATTAGTGGCTTCAGCAAGCTTGAGTGCTTCCCAATTTCAATAGCCGATATTTATGATTGATGCTGCACAAAAGTCGATTGGGATTTGAAATGTAGACTCAAAGTCATCACACTGTGTGCAGTGTCAAATTATTGATGAATCAGACATAGTCAAAGGTCATTGCGAGAAATTGCTCGTTCTGTTTCGAGTGGCGGCGTTTGTCTTGCGTCATGCTGTTATACGGAGCAAGCGTTGTTAGACATGATTCCCCTATGCAAAGTTGCCCCTTTGATAATTGACATAGCTTTATGATTGAAAACCAAATATAAACAACTGACGCAATTTCGTGCTTAATGCGACTAAGGTTAATGTACTGTTCATTCTTTGAAATCGTCTTGTTTATACATTTGCACATTCCTATAATTGACAGTTCTGTAGTATAGTGACAAGGACATTTTATGATTCTATGTCCTTGTCTTTCTTATAACATAACGATACTGGGTGGTAAAATAAGAAGTGCTATCGATGACAGACGATTAAATGTCTAGAGTCGTTTATCTTCCATAGCCAACATTCTGCATGAATAATTGATACCAATTTCACACCGGTTTTGTTTTGGGGCAAATGATTCAAACACGAAGGGCACAGACAGACAAGCCTACGTCTAGACTAATTGGAAAAAATAGCTTAAACCCGTCTTCAATAAAAGGCTTACCCAACAACAACATGTCCCGTACTTATAGGAAGGCCCTGTTATCTCGCTAATTGTTACTTATAACCCACCTTATAAGCTTCACTATTTATCTTTTCAGCTCTGTGTGAACTCGAGCCGCAGTTTAACTCTACACCAGAACACTTGAGGATAAAGCAGGGTTCTCGGGCCATTCTACCTTGTTCTGTGGTGTACATAGGAGGTCATCAGGTAACATTCAATCTCAGAACAGCTTCATGAAGACCGTTTTCCGTTTGAGGGTCTTGCATGTTGTTCAAGGAACGACGAGAGAATGGTTCTAATGGCCATAAGCATGCACGTTTGTCTGCTATTTGGACCATTTTTGCATCATCTAGAATTAATAATGATAGTAACGAAATTATCATAGGACGTTCGATTAATCCATCATATACATCATGTTATAGCATGCAATTTGTTACATCACTGGTCTGGATGTGTTTCTAAACTGTGCATGCTGTGAGGACAATATGTTGCCACATGATATTATAACAAGTAATGATCATTGCAAATCTGGTGACACCAGTACCAAAGGTGATCCGAACAGTGGGCATTTATGTAATTATTATGACAAAAAATATTTCCAAAAAGTAATGGACTAACTCAGACCTTCGGTTCAATCTTTGAAAATGTCCTTATAAATCACACAAAAAGACGTTATTTCATTCACCCATGTCGGTTAGTTATATTCATCATAATAACGTCATATTATCTCGAACAGATGAGTAGTTATTCATAAATTAACTATGGTTAAAATGTTCTATAATGATGTACAAGACCTCTGCCTTGAAATAATTAGTTGTTTGCCTATTTGTCTCTCGCTTATGGTATAATGTTAAATGTTCAAAATAATACGTACCCACAACCGTGAACGGCTTAACGTTTAAGCAACCCTAATAGAAACAGACAGACTGAAAGGCAGATTTTATTGTAGTTTTGTTTGTTAGTTTGTTGTTTGACGCCGCACTCAGCAATATTCCAGCTATATGACGGCGGTCTGTAAATAATCGAGTCTGGAACAGACAATCCAGTGATTGACATCATGAGCATCGATCCACACAATTGGGATCGATGACATGCATCAACCACGTCGATCCTGTTTGTCGCATCTTACGACAAGCATAGTCGCCTTTTACCACAAACATTGGTTGCTGAAGACCTATTGTAACCCGGATCTTTATGTTGCTTTTATTGTAGTAAAGGCCAAAGACCCTAAGTACATAAAGTCTTCAAGACATTATTGTTTAGACTTATATACATTTAAATTCCTCACGCATTTTGTAAACATAAATTTGAAATTTGGCATAAGTTACAATTAGTTCTCACAGAGAAGCAATGCCCTGATACATGTCACACGTTTGTGGAAGGAGTTGGTCCATTTTGTCATTATAAACAACACAGTTATACAGAATATGATGTCATTTATCCTCAGGTACCTTACATTTTTTACATAAATCTTCTTCATTTATAATCTCAGTAATAACACTACACACTTTCTGGATACCTAACTAAGGTATTTCATCCACTTCTACATTTAGTGATAATTCTTCTGTAAGCATATGATTCTACCTTAAGTCAGTAGTATTCACAATCCCAAAGTAACTTGAAGGTACTATACATGGCTATGTATTACTATGTAGCATGGAAATAATTCATGAAACAACCAGCAACCCCATGCACCGCCACCCACATTATTTGAACATCAGACCCCATCACACAATGTCCGAAACCACAAAACATTCTTAAGCGATTGTACTTTCAACTGGAAATAATCAACAGCACATCCCCCAGGTGTATGCAAATAGAATTCCAAAACGGTTTTAAACCTCTGAGAGGCCCACAGTACAATGACTCCCAGTTCTTTACAGCGTGTGAGAGAAAGGTAAAAGAATGGTTTTTTTTAGATCATTGTAATATGAATCTCAATTATTGGTTTTGTCTTGAGGGTATGCTGATTTTGTTAAAAATAAAAGAAAACATTTTGGAAAAGTGTGCATTTGACAAGCCAAATTAATAATGTTAACTAACCTTTCCGAGACGCTGTCATTAAGTGGTGTTTTATATCTCACCGGACGCAAACTTGCCACCAGTCTTAATTTCTCTCTCGACATGTCGCTAATTGCGTTTCTATTTTGCCCTTTTCATATCGATCCTTGTGCTAACAAAACCAAACTTTGGCTAATTTAATGTGTGACACAAACGCAACTGTGATAATTACTTTAGTTAGTTTTCCCTTTATCGATATTCGGTTTGTCCATCATTTTATTGTAATATTAGATATTTGATATTTTAATTTGATTATTTTCGCAGCCTGGGAAGTATTTGTGCAGCTGAAGTTTGTCATGTTGCATCTGGGTAGCCTTATTGTAACGACTTTGGGCATCTAAAGCCTTGGCCGCATCTGCTCTACTGTTCTTGTCTGAACATGTTGTTTATGGTTTTCGAAACATAAAATTAATAATTTTATTAAGTCATGTAACTATTTGATACACAAGTCAAGATATAATTCTAACGTAACATTCCCAAACGAACATGATATATCATTTATTACTCAGAATTGACAGAATTTATACACATTTGATACTTTGTACAAATAACGACCATTTCATTACTTGATTGGCAATGATTTAATATAATATCAGTTATGATAATCCTTTACCACATGTTACGATCATGGTTTGAGAAACGAGTAACGGTCATCATTTAACGAACAAGTAATAGTTGGAATTAACAATGAGTGATGGTCAAGATTGATAATGCACGTGAATAATGTATATTACAGACATGTTAAAGGATGAGAATACAGGTATGTCAAGTGTCAAGAATTGGTACTGTTATAAAAATAATGATCGAGGAAATTGCATAAGTAACGGTCGAGAATGAGTACATAATATAAAACGCGAACGCCAGACAATAACCAGTCTCGATTATCCTCGGAAACAGATTCCACTGGGTACAAAAGGCGAAACAGAGGTGACCAATATATGAATGAAACACTGATAACCAGTGATGACACCAGGTGTTCGCGGATAATTAACTGTCAAATATTAGTTACTATATAACAGACAAATATTAGAATATAAATAATGGTATCACGAAATAAGTAACGGTCGAGTATCGGTATATATGTAATAGCCAAGTATTAGACTATAAATAATAGTCAAGTATCACGATATAAGTAACGGTCTAGCATCGGTATATATGTAATAGCCAAGTATAAGACTATAAATAATAGTCAAGTATCACGATATAAGTAACGGTCGAGCATCGGTATATATGTGATAGCCAAGTATAAGACTATAAATAATGGTCAAGTATCAGGATATAAATAACGGTCCAGTAATAGTATATGTGTAAAGCCAAGTATTAGAATATAAATGGTGGTCAAGTATCAGGATATAAGAAACGGTCGAGCATCGGTATATATATAATAGCCAAGTATTAGACTATGAATAATAGTCAAGTATCAGGATATAAGTAACGGTCGAGTATTGGTATATATATAATAGACAAGTATTAGACTATAAATAATGGTCAAGTATCACGATGTAAGTAACGGTCGAGCATCGGTATATATATAATAGCCAAGTATAAGACTATAAATAATAGTGAAGTATCAGGATATAAGTAACGGTCGAGCATCGGTATATATGTGATAGCCAAGTATAAGACTATAAATAATGGTCAAGTATCAGGATATAAATAACGGTCCAGTAATAGTATATGTGTAAAGCCAAGTATTAGAATATAAATGGTGGTCAAGTATCAGGATATAAATAACGGTCCAGTATAAGTATATATGTAAAGCCAAGTATTAGAATATAAATGGTGGTCAAGTATCAGGATATAAGTAACGGTCCAGTATAAGTATATATGTAAAGCCAAGTATTAGAATATAAATGGTGGTCAAGTATCAGGATATAAGTAACGGTCCAGTATAAGTATATATGTAAAGCCAAGTATTAGAATATAAATGGTGGTCAAGTATCAGGATATAAGTAACGGTCGAGTATCGGTATATATGTAATAGCCAAGTAAAAGTGAGTGAGTGAGTTAATGCTTTACGTCACATCGGCAATATTTCAGCCATATCGTGACGAGAGCCAAGTATAAGACTATAAATAATAGTCAAGTATCACGATATAAGTAACAGTCGAGTATTAGTATATATGTAAAGCCAAGTATTAGAATATAATGGTGGTCAAGTATCAGGCTATAAGTAACGGTCGAGCAAAACATACAATATAAAGTGTCAACGCCAGAGCATTACCCTCCTCGTATACGAGGAAACAGATTACGCTCTGCTTAAAAGGCAAAGTAGCGGAGAAAATCAGCGATGAAACCAGGTGTTCGCGAAAAGATTAAGCGCATCCTGCCCTACTGGTGGCAGTAGTTAGTACATGAGTGATGGTTCTCTGACTGGAATTATATCAATACAACCTACAACCATCAGTATTTCACACGTGTATGTGACCATGCAGACCAACATGTTCGTATCGCTTGAACCCATCCCATGGTCATTCGTTATTTTATATGGGAACGTTGGTATATATATCAGTATTGTTTGCAGCGACCGCTCACTGGCTGCATACTGTATTCCCAAGTTATGCCTATATTATTTCACCCCTATTGCTAATGGAATGTACGATTAATTCATCACAAGACGTTTATGTCAGTGAATGTGTTTTGCACCGACATGGCAAATAGATTGCGAGTACTTCTTGCTGAATGTGTTTCCACCTCATGTAACTTCTTATAGCTTGCATACTTCCTTCCTTCGAATACCTTTGTAACTATATTACTTGCCGCCTCTGGTAGCACGGGGCTGCGCTCGGAACGCCTTATATACGTATACTGCTACGTGTCACGGTGAGTCATCGGAGGACATCAGTGCTATGATCTCAACATGATCAAAATTTTGATCTTCATTGATATTCAACATATTAGGCTTGATGTTGACACGTGGTCCTAGGAGAAGTTAAGCAACGTCGACGCGGAGATTCCATGGATGATTGACCGCATTCAGCATCTTGGCTGGGAGTTTCTAGGGCTTCGGTCCTGCCCCACACTGAAACACATGTAGAACATGTGGTGTCTCCTTAGGGAAGTGACTTTGTTCGAATTGTGCCTCTGTTCACCCAGCAGTGAATGGGTACCCGGTAGGATGAGATGGCAATGCGGTTGTAAACCTTCTAGCGCCTAACAGGCAGCTTGAGTGGTATACTCCCCAGGGAGCTGAGAATGATTGTTGAGCGCACACTGCTCCATTGACCGGGGTAGTAAATGTCTAAGCACTTAGAGCTTGCTTATGCATGGAGTGCAACGTCATATAAATGGACTATTTGTATTATTTTGTAATATTTTGTATTATTATATGTTCTGTGCTATGATACGATACATGTACATAATGTAACAAACTCTATGAATGAAATAATATGTAATATTTATATATATAATGTACATTATGAATATCTACCTTTCATGTTTATAGTTATATTTGTCCCTTGGGCACGCCAGAAACCTATGTTTGTGGGTTCGAATCCCTGTTCGCCCCGATAATGTTTCTAGGTTTGTCAGCACCATACCCGTGCTCGTGGGTTTCACCGAAGTGGTAAACGTCTAAGACCTGCATCACTTCGGGCTTTCCTCCCACATTAAGCTGACACGTGATATAACTGGAATACTGTTAAAAGCGGCGTTAAACCAAACTTACTCACTCACTATAGTTATATTTATTCCCATATGTAGATTGTGTGTACCCTGCCTTACGAGGGTGTTCTGTTCAATACAAATTCTTGATTCTTGATTCTTGTAATGTCTTGGCTCTACTATATCTAATGGTGAGGTGAGGTGAAATTGGGTTTAACGTCGCGTCCAAGATTATTGCACTTATATAGCGACGTGCATGCACGTGTATGTGTGTGTGTGGCTGCTTGTACTAGTCCGGACTGATGCAGATTTATAGTGCTAGCTCACTGAGATACCATGCCGCAGTTTAACATGAATACCCCACTCAGACACAGTATACTGACTCCGAGCCGACCAGTCCTTGTTTTAGCCCCTTAATGCCGAGCGCCAGACAGGGTAACAACAAGTACAATCTTTTAACGTCTTTTTGTATGACGCGGCCCGGGATCGAACCCTGGACTTTCCGCTCTCCGGGCGGACGCTATACCACAAGACCACGGAGGCGGTCACTATATCTAATGGCTATGGTTTAATACACATAGTAATGGTGATGGTCCTGATTTATCATACGGGCGTAGATTGTTCGTTTGTTTGTTTATCTGTAGTGCGACACGTACAGGTTCCCTGGGAACTTTGGTAATGACTATGTTGTAAAGTACAAGTGATGATCCTGATTCATGCCACGGTGACAAGGGTTCTCTAATAGGTCATCGTTGTACTTCTAGGTTGTGTGGTCGAGTCCTCGGAAGACACTTATAAGCTTGGAGGACCGACGTTTGATAGATGACCAGAGGATCAGCGTTGAGCGACCCTACATCAAGGAATGGAATCTGCACATCAGGAATGTTCGTTATAACGACAGCGGGACGTACAAGTGTGAGATCAACACAAACCCTATACAGTTTAAAGAAGTGACACTCAAAGTTGTAGGTGAGTCATAGATGAAGCCCTTGTCACGTGCATCTATCACACTCTAAGTTGTAGGTGAGTCATAGATGAAGCCATGTCACGTACATCTATCACACTCTAAGTTGTTGGTGAGTCACAGATGAAGCCCTTGTCACGTACATCTATCACACTCTAAGTTGTAGGTGATTCATAGATGAAGCCCTTGTCACGTACATGGGGTAAAGGAGGACGGTATATGGTGGGTATCTCTCCTTGTATAGGGATAAACTCACAGTTTTAACTGGGAATCAATCTAGTTTTAGTACGGATAGAAGAGGCAATGTCCTTAAATGCAACCCGAGTCATAGTATCAAGCATAGACAATTTAGTTGTCGTTCACTTCATGTCATCAATACGTAGGGTCACAAAGTTATCACAGAGCTCCGACAGTCGTAATTAAGTTCGTTTAAAGTATGGAAGTTAAGGTAATATTAATGCAGATTTCGCTTTGCTGAAATGCAGTGACTAATAGCACCGGTGTACGAACACGCACGCTCTTTGTTACCTCCCAATCCTTGTTCCATGGGTTGTTACGACCAGCGAGAGAGACTTGTTCGAAAATGATAAATTAAAACCATATATTCAGAAGAAAAAAACACGAAAGACAGAAAATAACTATTTCCCTTCAAATGAACACATGTCATCTACTAATGCTTTTCTCGTTGGGTGAGTGAGTGAATGATGCGTGTTCCATCATTCTCTTTATCAACCCCATAACGGTAAATCAATAGATGGAATGAAAAAAGCCGGGGGTAATCAATTTGAACATGTAACCACTGCTTCATCTTCATTAAGGGGAACATATAATGCGATTAGTACACCAACAGGAAACATATGTTTCCTTTAGAGTGTGAAAACTGGAAAAAAGCTGACATTTATTTGAATGATTTTGGAAGGCATCAATTTTGCATTTACCACAAGTTATCTCCCTTTGACAGTTCCGCCCACCATCATCAGCAAACTTTCCTCCGACAACCTAAAACTGAGGGAGTCAGAGACGGCGGAGTTGGTGTGCAACGTCACGGGGGTGCCACACCCAAATGTCACATGGTTCAAGAGGAATTTCAGACTTGGACGAGGTCATAAAGAACGTACGTACATGTATCTGAAAACAGCAACCCTCCCTACTGAGCCACCTGGGTCTGCATTAAGTGTAGGGTCTTCCCGTTTTGTCGTGTATTATAATATGTTATGTTGTTATATTTTGGTTGTTCAAGTTAATAGAATTAGTTGGACCAGAGGCAATGCAGGGTCTTCCCGTGTTGAAGTGTATTATAATATGTTATGTTGTTATATTTTGGTTGTTCAAGTAAATAGAATTAGTTGGAACAGAGGCAATGCAGGGTCTTCCCGTGTTGTAGTGTATTATAATATGTTATGTTGTTATATTTTGGTTGTTCAAGTTAATAGAATTAGTTGGACCAGAGGCAATGCAGGGTCTTCCCGTGTTGTAGTGTATTATAATATGTTATGTTGTTATATTTTGGTTGTTCAAGTTAATAGAATTAGTTGGACCAGAGGCAATTCAGGGTCTTCCCGTGTTGTAGTGTATTATAATATGTTATGTTGTTATATTTTGGTTGTTCAAGTTAATAGAATTAGTTGGACCAGAGGCAATGCAGGGTCTTCCCGTGTTGTAGTGTATTATAATATGTTATGTTGTTATATTTTGGTTGTTCAAGTTAATAGAATTAGTTGGACCAGAGGCAATGCAGGGTCTTCCCGTGTTGTAGTGTATTATAATATGTTATGTTGTTATATTTTGGTTGTTCAGGTTAATAGAATTAGTTGGACCAGAGGCAATGCAGGGTATTACCGTTTTGTAGTGTATTATAATTTGTTATGCTGTTATGTTTCGGTTGTTCAAGTCATTTGTTGGACCAGAGGCAATATTTTTTACATATTTTCTCTGGAACTTTTATAATTTAACTCCTTTTCTCGTCCGGCTACCCACAGGGGCAGTGAATGCTGGCAATAGTTGGTAATTTCGCTTTCGTCTTTAGAAAGAATTTCAGTGGTATCACAGTTGAGGCTCGGGGTGCAAAGTCGTCAAAGCCGCTTAATTGGCTGTGTAGAGTTGTGTCCGTCAACCACACCAGAATCCCTTTATGGTCATGAGTACCCGATTCGCCCTTCTTCCGTACCTGGTTTGACAGCACCTTGCCCGCGCTCTTTGGCCTCAGTAGACCTGTAAACATCTCTCACGTGTCACGCTTGGCGATTTTCTTCTTCATTAATCTGTCACCATGTCTTATAACTGAAATACTGTTCAAAGCGGAATTTACCCTAACTCACTCTTAATGTGAAATCCACTATTTGGTGCTGACAGACTTATGGTGACAAATTCAGCCAACAGAAGCTATAATAGGTGGCACATGTATGTCATTGTCATTATAACGTCTTGGTGTTGTAGGCTTTCATTTAGATTTGTCGGTGCTTCTGAAAAACTCATATTCACGAAATATCCCTGTCAATATTATTTACAGATATAGCCAAGATAGTCTTTTCAAAATGTGATCTATCTATATGTTTCTGTATATACAAAATATACATATACACAGAACTGTTTACATTTCATATATCAATGTGTTACTATCTTCCTAGATCTTTTTACATCCGAGTATAACAGTTCACCCCTAGGGGCCTGGGTTCATCGGGTTTCCTTCGAAAGAGGATATGCCGACGAATTCCGAAAGTTATCCAATAAAGAAACACTATTTCTGTTTTCAATCTCAGCGTGTACTTTAAAAAAGTGGAAGTTCGTTACATCTTTGAAAGATAAAGGTTAAGTACAGTTCTTTAATCAACAAATACCTGACGGTCCCTTCCCACTGATTGCTATAACCCAGTTCTGATATGTTTCACACGTTAGACGGAAAAAAATAGATTATCTTTTTCTAAACGAAAGCGCAGTTGGTTGAGAATAAACAAAGGTTTTTGTCTAATCAGAGCACAGATCCATGGTCAAACAACACAAAAATAGTTCTCTGGTTTTGAAAGAAGTGCATTCGGTTGTGGAATTATTTCCTGTCGTTATTCTGTATACTTTTAGTGGTAAAAGCATAGTTTGACTGGTGTTTGAGTCGATAAAAGTCCTGAACTTTGACAATACGGTCGAGATAATTTTAGCATGATGCAGGGATTTTATTTCCTGGCAAACTCGTGTAAATTTAATTGGAGGTCTTTTTTTGTCATACCCTCAAAGATTAACGGCTTCACGTAAAACTCAAGGATCCGGCTTCGCCTCATGGGAGAGAAGACACATTCCCTCCGGCAGCCATCATTTATTGTCTTAGAATGTGCGCCGGTTTTATCTCTCGAGTGGCCGCACAGCGATCTTTAACCGAAAATCTATCTGGATCCCATTTGGCTCAAGCCGCAGAAGGAACTGATAAAATCATCCTCACTCACTTTTCTGATTTTATTTCCCTTTTACACTGATCCTTGGCGGTGGCATCAGAAAGTCCCTGGGTAGCCACATGTACGATAGGAGTGGAGACGAGATTGGGGTGGAGATGGGACTGAGAAGTCGGCTTTTAATGGGGATACACGGAAGTACACATACGTTATTGACGGTCAAAGATAAGGAAGCTCTCAGGGCTGTGACCCGGCGGCCACTTCACAGTGTCGGACAAAAGGCTATAATGGACGCGCTACTGCCAATTGTTGGTTCTCAATTCACAGATATGTTAAAGGGCAAGGGGTACACTGAGGGTTGGTTTGTTGGTTTGTTGTCTAACGTCGCACTCAGCAATATTCCAGCTATATGACGGCGGTCTGTAAATAATCGAATCTGGACCAGACAATCCAGTTATTGATATCGTGAGCATCAATCCACGCAATCGGGAACGATGGCATGCATCAGCCAAGTCAGCGAGCGTGACCACCCGATCCCGTTAGTCGCCTTTTACGACAAGCATAGTCACCTTTTACGGCAAGCATGGGTTGCTGAAGACCTATTCTATCCCGGAATATTCACGGGTCTACACTGAGGGAATATTGAGGAGATTCGCTCATTAAAATTAAAAAGGCACGGCTAATGTTTTTTAGTGTGCTAAGTATTACATGATTATTATTTTCCTGTGGTTAGTGCAGATCAGGATAACAGATGTATTTTTGGGAGATGAAAAATGTCAGATTTAACGTTACGTACAGATTCCAACATTAGCTGTTGTGGTATAACTTCTTGTCATTGTAAGTTTACTCTGATTCGTGAGGGTTGGATCCTCTGTCGATTTTTGTTTTGTACATATCTTGTTTCTGGTGTGTTTTTTTGGTTTCATTTGAAGGGTGCTGAAGCAACAATTACTCGGATGTTATTACACATTGATTAAAAAACAAATAGTTACAAAACAGTTACATCAGTAACACGAAAAGATTGATTATTTCACAAGAATATCAACCCACTTTCTCTTCCGGTGATGTCCTTTTGGATTCAAATTAAGAACGGGTATGGTTGACCGAGGTGGCTCAGGTACAGCAATTCGCTTTGCAGAGTTGAGTCTCTTCGTGCCAGGAACTTATGATTGTGGGTTCGAATCCCAGATTTACCTTTACAGACCAAGGTTTGTCAGCACTATATACAATAAGATCGTGGGTTTCACCAAAGTGGTCATCTTCCCGAGGCAAGGGAGTTAACTGTTATAAAAGTCTAGTTTCCACCCTTGCCGAAATAGGCTTGAATTCTTGCGTTATATTTTGGCTGGACTAACGAGTCTGTGCATAGTCGAATCAAAATCGCGTAACGAAATCGACATCCGATTTGTAAACGACATGGACTTCAACGTGCAAATTTAGGTCGACTGCAGCATTTGCAAAACATGTATACCGTTAACTGGGCGTCGACATATTTTCGAAATCTTTTAATGTTTTTAATCAAGGTGCTTACGCAATTTGATGTACTTCGCGATGAAAGACCCGTTTTATGACAATATATATCTTGATCATCGATGAGATCGTCTTGACTAGGCGCCGCCATTTTGTTTGAAGCAAATGCAAGTGATATGAGAGGTGAAATCTGATTGGTCAATAGGAGGGGCATAGACGGGACATAACTCATTATAGCCACTGGTGGCGCTACAATCGTGCCCAGAACTCCCAGCCTCGTTCGGCAAGGATGGAAACTGGACTTTGACAGTGAGTTTACTCCCTTGCCTTCGTCACATCGAGCGTTTCTCTCGCATCAGACTGAAACGCCGTGACATAACTGAAATAGTGATCAAAGTCATGGTAAACCAAACTCACTCAGTAAAATATAAAACTGCAAATAACTCTGTGGATTTTGTTTCAGGAATCGGTCTAGAAGGGGAGGTGTTGATCATCCACAATGTCACCCGGTACTGTGACGACATCTACGAATGCTACGTTGACAACGGCATTCCCCCGGCTGTCAGTAAAGCCATCAGAGTGGTCGTGGAATGTAAGTCTCCTATTGACATGCGTGTTGCCAGCTGTGTTGTAAGACTGAAGATATTCCTTTTATAAGCGCCAGTCAGTTACAATGTCAAGAAAGCGTGTCCTGAAAATTAGATCTACTGAAACAGTTTCTATTCACATACAAGAAATAGCTGAGTGATACATTACACACATGTTTTTAGTTCTTGTCAAGGTCAAAGTACCAGATGTATAGGTCTCTGCATCTACATACGTTCACTGGTAAAGAATACAGCCGTAGGCCCTGTAGCTCACCTGACCACATGCGAAACAAACAACATACGTTGTACCTTTTTTAAAAGACTTTCAAGCAACGTGACACTTTTCTTTCATCGCATTATCTGAAAAAATATACAAACATGGCTTTTCCTTTATGTTAACAATGAATACCGAAAGTCAAAAGTTTGGCTTTTCGAACAATCCAGTGCGGGACCAGCTTTGATGTAACTCATGCAAAGCTTCATCTTTACAGTTCCAGAGAGGAAATCGAAAATATAGAATTAGTGGACAGTGGTGAAGACATGTTAAGTAGAAATTCACAAAGAAACTGTTTCAATTTGTTCAACCCTACTGCACACTAACCACACGCTACATTTACAATGTACAATGCATCCGCCTAAATGGCTGGTAAATGAATAAAGACAGCTTTACAGTGATTGCCAGGGAGATCTTCTGATCTTCTGATCGAAAGAATCTGAAAAATCTAAAACAGACACCAAAGTAATCATTCATGCATCGTTGCGTCAGTAGTTTCGGAAAAGAAGTTTAGATGTGAAAAGTTCTACATTTTCCCTGTTTCAAGGACAATATTCTCAAATCGATACGTCGAACAATGACACCCTTTAATCTATTCGTTAAAGACGAAGCCCTATGATTTCCACAGCACAGGCAAGACTCCTTCCGGAAATAAATGTCACGACGACCTTCTTCAATGATGTCTGGAAACCAATGGAACTCTATACAATCCCGCGCTATATGACCTTTCGTGTTTATATAGACTACTATGATATTATGGTTATACGTTTATCAGTGTTTCTGGTTCTACACTGCATGGTTCCATTGTACTGCTTGCTAGTTGAGACCTTTCATTCACAGACATGGAACACACAATATTTCTTAACACTCACAGAGTGAATAGCCAAATTCCATGGAAACTCGACAGTACCAGACATCGCTTTATTATGCATATATGACCTGTGTCAATAAATTATTTCATCTACGAAAAACATAATTAAGGTTCACAAACCTCCCAAACATTTGGAAGTCTTCGTGTGGTTTTTCACGAGCCAAACAGCATGATCAAACGTTTCAAGGTTCATTAGAGAGTCATTATTTCTAATTCAATCTTGATTTCTAAATCTTCCCTTGAAGTACTGTCTTGAAATGACGTAGGAACATCGTTGCTGATGATGTGATGAGCTGAAAGGGGTCTTTTATGGGCCATACCAACACCCTCCGCAACAATAGCGTTGTCTTCTTCAAGATGTTTACATAACATGAAGTCTGCGTGTTGTAATTACTCAACTGAGCGGCTTCTGTAAACCAGATGCCCCCACTCACAAGTAAATGTGCGCCAAATTACTTAATAAACTGACGTAACGCAGCTTTCCTGTGGGTTTTGTACATAGCGGACTCTGCGGTGGAGTTTTTGTAAAAGAGTTTTGAAAAAACACTCAACAAAACTGTCAGCATTGACGAAGGCAAGAGTCATTGTGTAAATATTGCTTAATTAATAACACGAATTTGGACAAAAAGGGAATGAACCGAATTGAACTAAATTCTGCTTGCAACATTTCGGACGTGTTGATTCAACAAAGCTACATGTTTGTTGTTACCATCTTTCCACACCTAAATACTCTTCTACCTACACATCTCGCCAGGCACAACTGCCAGCATCAATGACACCGCTTCACTGAGGCAATTCGCTCCATATTACTTTTCATTCTGTTTTCACCCAAATGGCTCTCTTCTCCTGCCCCTTTCCCCATCAACCAACTTTGACTTTATCTCGCTCCTGCTCAGCTGCTCACATGCCTTTACCATAGACATGCATTTGAGATCTCGCAGATTGTGGAGATGTGATACACATGTACATACTCAGTTGTATGCCATGTTTGTCATAATAAAACAGTCATTTAGTTCCATGACATTTAAAAGTTCCACCTTGTCTTTATGTAAACTTTCCAGAGATGACCCTGTTGGACGTATATATGGCCTTTAGGATGACGCCAGAGATTCATATTGATGTCATGCCATGTTCTGTTGTAGTTCCGCCGGAAGTGGTGATGACCAACAAGCGCATAGGACATCGCCTGGGACGCGAGACCATACTAGAATGCAGTGTGTACGGCAACCCTCAAGGTCTTACATTCTGGAAGAAAAATGGCCGCCAGATTATAACTGACGAACGGTTTACGGTGGAGGCGTACGAGGACATTGAGAATAGGATAGTGACCCTCAGTCTCCGCATCAACCCACTGGAGAAGCAGGATTTTGGCAGATACGTCTGTGAGGGAAGTAACCATCTAGGGATGGACAGAGAGGAAATGGTCTTATATGGCAAGTGATTTGTTTCCCTGAATTTGGTTTAACTTAGTTTGACAATTTGAATGCATACATAGTTGTTTAATGTGTGTCGTCAGCAGAACTCTAGGTTTATGACGCCAGCCTGTAAATAATCGTGTCTACGTTTAACAGCCCTGTGACTGATATGATGAGCACCGTGTCTAACCACCAGAGCCATTTGGTCGCCTATTAAGACAAGCATAGGACTGGGTCCTTAAAGAGTTGCTAAATAGTACTTTATCATTTTGAGAATAATTATTAGACTAAGAATACAAACTTGATATCCGAGGAACTATGATGAAAATTTACATTAAGTGTTTCATGGTCACATGGCTGCTAATGATCGGAATGAGTTGTAAATGGAAAATGTCACTGCTAACATGTTGTATATTGTTGAATAGGAAAAAAAACAGTTAATTATTTTTTTGGTTCTCTTTGACAGAAATTGAGCCGGAAATTACTACAACGCCTTCCACAACACAAAGGCCGTTTTACGAAGTACTACCAGACATCCCCGACGACGTTGATGAAGACAAGGATGAGGAAAGTAGCTACGTCTCCGACCGACAACGCCCTGGACCAGCCTCCACAATATACCCGGATCAGTACCCGGGTAAATACCCGGACAAACTCCAGCCTACCAGATCCCCAACTAGTCGATACAGTGGAGAGACGGGCAGTATGTATAATGTTCAAATACGAGAAGTCTTTTAATGGCATGCAGAACTTGGTAGAACATGATTTTTAGGTGATTATATTAAGGTATGTCGTAGCGTGTCCGCTTAATTCCGGAGCTCTGGTATATAGTCTAAACGTTTACGAGTGAGTGAGTTTGGTTTAACGCCGTTTTGAACAGTATTCCAGTTATACCACGGCGTGTTAACTCAATGTGGAAGGAAAACCCGAAGTGATGGGGGTCTCAGACGTTTACCACTTAGATGAAACCTACGAGCACGGGTATGGTGCTGACAAACCTGGAAACATAATCAGAACGAATCTGGGATTCGAACCCACGACCATACGCTTCTGGCATGCCTATGGGACGCCACTCATGCCCCCGGAAGAACATGACGAAACGTGTGTGGGTAACAACTTTCTTTCTTGATTTTAATGACGTTACAGCTGCAGTTCTGGTCCTTTCTGGTCAATCTCATCACAGGGGACAAGACGTGGCACGTAAACGTTCTTAAAAGTTACAATAAACAGTTGTTATATTTCGCCGTATCAGAGCTTCACCTTTTTTAAGATACCTTGGAAAAGTTCTCATCTCTACGTGGTTCACAAAAAGCATTTAACTCTATTAAATAACCAGTTTCCAGTGGGTCTCACGACAATTGACACATTATCATCGGTATGAAAGAGGGTGTTTTTCTTTCTTTAAAATCTCATAAATGAATCTCAGTAAAAATACCCTTTGTGATCTGATCCAGCCTTGGAGGGGTTTAGGACTGTATATAGGCTCCCTGATGATACAATGAACACACCTATATTGTATTAGTCGACGTCGCCAGTTCTCCGGCCTAGTTGGTGTTTATAACGTTGGATAATATCACATATACTCAGGGGCGAATCTGATTTCATTCAAGATGTCAGATTAAAATAAGAAATGCGAAGCTTATTTACCTAATTACATTATTATGATGCTCTCTATCATTGGCAATGAAGTTACATTGGTAGAATGTACACCAAATAGAAATACACAAAAGGTTAACACTAGTATAGGGTGTATTCCTTATTAAATAAACTCATTGAGCGATGTTCATATCAGTTCTGCAAGATATTTCAAGCCGTCTTAATCTCAAGACATCTGATCACAGTTTGAATTGAATTCTTTAATGGTTTTTTTCTAATTCTTTTCAGATGACCCCAGATCCATTCTCCGTCATAGAAACTGTGCCTCAGATGAAAAATATACTTTTATTACATCCATATTGACTGTGATTAATATTTGGTTGATTTCTTGACCTCAACATACTGTATCATAGCTGACACCAAAGTGAAGGTCACATGATGTCACATCCGGCTGGTATGCGATCCAATAAGAAACCTGGATACTTAAAGGCTTGCAGTGAGTAGAAGGAAGGATTCGCTTGCAGATGGACCTTGTGTGTGTGTTTTGAACCAGTGGTGTCTAATGTCGAAGGAAAAGGTGATAATAGCAGGCAGTATTATTGATTGGAAAACCATTTCTCGTTATCATGTTGCATCTTATGGATGCAGAACACTGTGAAGAACTGCAAGCACTCCCGGGAACCAAATAAACTAAAGGTGAAACACAACGGTTCTTAAAGAGGAAGGTTATTGTTTAACCCGACAAAAGTTTCAGTCACCTTATTGGAGGGAGTGCAAAGACAATGCTATTTGTATATTGTTATCAACTGTAATGAAATCAGCTCAGTACCAAATTGAAGCAGTGGAGCTGAAAATAACATATTTGCATTGATGCTACCCCCACTAATAACTGCTGGGACAAGTCCAGGCTCTGTACAAATATATTTACAACCGTGTACAACACTGTTCTCTTGTGTCGTATAATATCAATGATTGTATACATTGCTTTGTATGCAATTGAATCGTTCAACATATCCAAATTCGTATTTCGATCAACGAATCCATCATTCCGATTCTTGTGTATCTTTTACGAATGTTTCACCAAGTGGGATTAATATTTGAAATGTCCATTAACGTGATTCAGAATGGTAAGCCATTAATAAAACAAATAAGTATGACGTACAACCATATATCAATAATACATACAAATACAACCTTCATTTTTAGAGAAAACAAAACAATAATTGTTTGTATGTTACGTTATTATCATACTAGAAAGATCTCATAGTGGGAACAGTTATACACATTATTCTTGTAATACTATTGTTTCAAAATTCCATTTAAGATGTTTTATGCTATTATAGAAAATATGTAGAACACATTACCAACAACTGAGGTTTTTCGCTCTCTATGCACCCGTCACTGTTGAAAGTGTTTGTTCCAAGGTTGTATGACCTTGATCGCTTGATCATTTATTGAATAGGTAACATTCAGATCAGGCCCCTCACACATTCAATGATGACATTGAAACTCGAGTTCACTCCCCTTGATATGAACATAATAGGTGTTGTCGCATAAGGCACGTTGGCCGAATTCTTGCATATTTCCTAGTCTTATTTGTATCCGGGATGAATGACAAATAATCTTTTGTAAAACGTGTTATCCTTTGCATCACAAGTCAACTTTGTCCAATTATGTTAAAACTAAACTACACACACCATTCTCCATGTCATCAGGTATCACGTTTTCGTTGTAATATTTAATTGAGATTTCCCTAATAGTCAATTTTAGTTCACAATTTAATTGCTATAATTATTATCACTGATCTGAAGTGCTTCTCCCTCTGTAATTGATCCGACACTCATACTCACCCGACCCCTCCCCCATTGCACGGGAGCAATATTGTACACCCTCTGTATATACGACTGTGTAGGTATTGACTGAACGCTCTCTAGACGTGTGTATCAATGATGTACATATTTATGGGAGATTGCTATGGTGCTATCAAGCAAAATGTAGTTAGTGTACTTAATTATTTAACAAGGGGCCGTTGCCCTCAAAATAACGAATACGCTGCATTGTATCTGGCTGTCAAAACACACTCTTCTTGTCCGTAAACCAATTTTGATAATCTAATTCAATCTGAAAATAGCTGGTTGCTATAGTTAATAAGCGACAATTTCGTCCCAAGCGTCCCATTTTCAAAAGGGGTTTCAATGATGGAACGTTACAAAAACGTGGAGTGCTTTTCCACTCAAGCCTCATTGTGGAGTTAGGGTCCCGGATGCAAAGAAAATTTCTGGGTCAAGGCCAAACAACACTTTTATGTGTAAATATAAATATTTAGGTAAAATCTTGAAAATTTTGTAGTGTGATTATCTATGTTAAAATGGTTAAGGAATTGCATACGTCTTTTGTGAGTTTGGTAGTTGTTGGTAGTTTGTTTAAACAGACAGGCTTCAAACTGTGACATGTTGGTAATAGGCGTGGAAAGCAACATCTACACAATATAGCATGCTTATCACATTGCAAAACAGCAACAATTTCTGGATAGCATTTATGTGAACATATGGTATGGTTAACTACAAGTAATTGGGTTCAAAGCGTGTTTCAGAGCTTAATTTGAAGACGTTTATCTAGAGAGTTAAGACAACTATTGGTGTGTTTAGATATTGCTTTGATTTATTTCCATATGTGATAAGAGAAACACGATGTTGTACCTTGTATTTGAATCCATGTATGGTGGGCAGCGCTCCAGAGTACATGTGCTAGTCCTCGTTGGCAACTTGAGTGTACATGTGACTTCCATGCTATCGTCCCTTCACTTCACCTGTACAGTAGGACAATCTAGCGGCACCAAACTCCTTACATAGTCTCATGAAGCATTTCACAGTGACATAGCAAAAACGGTTAAATGTTCAATATACAATGGAGTTGATTTGATTTGTGAAAAGAACAGACGCCAAACAATGATGCAAGTCATACTATTATATATTTCTAAAGCTATGAATTGGCCATTTCAATACATAACACATCCATATACTGAACAAATATCGTTAGAAATCATGAATATATTTGGCGATGTTTTCATGAAATTGTGTGCTCCGTTTTCACTACAAAAGATGTCCCCCAAAACATTCTGATTCCTTACGTTTCTTGTGCAGTATAGTTTAGTTCATTCATAAATTCTGGCTAGCAAAAGTGCACAAAATAATAGTCTTGGCAGTCAATATTATCTTATGTTCTGATGATAATTTATTATTGGTCAATCATGGATTATTTTAGTTTTAGAAACTACTCATGCGTGTATGATATGCTCAGTGTGTGATGTTGTTGGACAAACTTGTTCATCAATGTTCTTCATTATTTATTTCTTTATCAGTTGATTTTGATCTCTGTGTATATTCCCACCATCTTTCACTGTCTTGTTGAAATCATCCATGGCAAATTGTAGATAATAAACTGTGTATATTTACACTTGTCGGTGTTATCTATCACGCCTCTCAATGTGATCGTTTATAGCCCCAGCAGGCGTGCGATAAACAATTAAAGGACATTTGTTTGAACGTCTCGTCATCGTCAAATTACGTGTGTATCTGATCAAGCGAAAAAGTATATTTCAAAAATAACTCTTCAAAGTTCTGGCCATCATACTCGACATAAGGATATCCAGTGAAATATGTATGAGTGAGTATTGTTTTACGGCGCTTTTAGCAATATTCCAACAATATCACGGCGGGGGAAAACAGAAATGGGCTTTACACATTGTACCCGGTTTGGGAATCGAACCCGTGTCTTCGGCGAACACTTTAACAATTAGGCTACCCAACTGTCTCTAAATATGTATGATAAAGTCTCACAATCTCAGTAATAGTCGTCCCCCCTCTTAATCATCCGTGACGGGATCGTGTTGTCACGCTCGGTGACTTGGTTGATGCATACCATCATATCCCAACTGCGTAGATCGACGCTCATGATATCAACCATTGGATTGTTTGGTCAAGAATTGACTAATTACAGACCACCGTCATATAGGTGGTATATCGCTGAGTGCGGCGTTAAACAACCAGTGACTGTATGTAGCCTCCTTGACCCGGCTATGCATGGTGCAGGAAAGCATTATCGAGCACGAAACGCTTGTCCCAATGTACATACAATTCACCCCGCTTCTTCAACACCAGTGATGATTAAGATGAGTAGCATGCACGCTGGTGCATGTTCTACGTGCAGAGAAGCATTCACGAACACAGAACACTTGTCCGTGTATACAATGAAATCCATGACCAGAGATGTGCCGCTCGCCCCTCACAGCTACTCATGCGCCAGTTCATATCAGCGGCCGTTCCATCATCATAGTGTGACGTCTTCTTTTACATAACAAACTTAAAAGTACGCGTATGATTTCAATATATCATCGTGTGATATTATCTGCCTCCCAGCAATACACACGACTCACTTTGGACATATCTCTGTCTCATTAAAATCACATTTTTTTTGTCTCCGTCAAGATATGAAGATGTCAGTCTTCTACAACGTTTCGGCTTTTTTTTTTCACCGCCTCGATTCGGAAATTGTTATCTCTGCCAAAATAAAACCGCCACAGAACACAACTATGCCCTCGACATAAATCGTTTTGTGTCGATTCTATGGACAGCTTTTGTTCACAAACAAGAAATTAAGATGTATATGATGTATAGAATAACCACAATAATCTATGAATGCGACGTTAAACCACAATTCACCTCACCTCACCTCACCTCACCTCACCTCACCTCACCTCACCTCACCTCAACATAATAGCGCGGCCTTTCAAATGGTTTCGGATTTCCACGATTACATTTGTTTTCTAAATACAGAAATCAGATATGCTTGTCTGAATGCTTGTCTAAATGCTTCGCTCATTCGTAGCGAGAAGTTAATAAGACGCTGACTGTCCGATTAGAAAGTTCACGACTGACGCGACTTGTGATGGAGTCCTCAGACCTTCATGGAGAGAAGAATGTATTTCATTATATCTCATTGTGATCAGATTACCTTGACAAGAGACCTGTTCCCACTAACACTTGGGCTCAATTAGTCGGAACGTCTCCCAGGCCCCTAAAAGGAAACACTATCTATTCATATATGTGTGGTTAATGAGCCCTGATTCTGCAGTCAATGATAATGGCAATTCTTAAACACAGCAGCCTGTTGTTTAACGCACATTAATAGATTCTACTTATAGTCTGCAAATAGATTATGTATTTACTGCATTTTGGAAATGGTTAAGTTTTAATGAAGCAATCATTTAATAGAGCAAACGACGATCGTTGAATTGAACTGGCGTACACAAATATGGGTTAAATATATATGACTTCAATTCTCATTAATTTTCAACGTCACGACTTTGAAACCACTTACCTATCACCACGGCTAGTGGCTAAAGCGTTGTCTCGTTACGCCGAAGACACATGTTCATTTCCCACATGAGTACAATGCGTGGAGCTTATTTATTATGTCCACCGTCGTGATATAACTGTAACCTTGATAACAACACGCGTAAAACCATGTCCATTGTGACGACATCTTCCGGGAACACGATACCTACATGGTGAAGAGGGGGAATTGTGGGTAAAGATTTGTTTGTTCCACTCAGGGATCAGTTATTGGTATTCGGATATTTTACAGCTTCTAGAAAAGATATTCTTTAAATTAAAACTATGAGCCTAAATATACTCTGCAAAAACACAAAAGGCAAAAGTAGTAAAATCGTAAATATCTGACAGAGTGTTGCCGACATCCATACACAATTAATACACAAATGAATCGGTCAATTCTGCATGGATTGGGATTGATTTGTGTGGAAAGAATGAGGCACTGCAGAAATTTGGAGAAAAGATTGAAAAATCACAAAAAACACAACCACGTGAGAGCTTGGTGCCGAAACACACCAACATGACATGCGCGTGCAACATCACATTGTTGAGCTATAAAAAAACGTTGGGTTTTCATTTGCATGCCATCACATTCTTACAGCAAGTGAAACATGCTTCGACTGACGGAAGCCCAATGCAACAACCCCATCGGCTGACTGCATCGGCTGTTCATCTGTAGCCTGTTTTCCCCACGTAGCACCAAGCACCATTACAATATTGTCAGACACACGGGACAACACGGGACCATCCCAGATCCGGTCGACCACGTATCATTACAAGAGCACAGCAGATTCATACGGCTACGTCACTAACACGGCGGGGGCACGGGTGGCCCAGTCGTCTAAGGCGCCGCGATTCGCTGTGCAGAGTTGCGTCCCTTGGGCACGCCAGAAACCTATGATTGTGGGTTCGAATCCCGGTTCGCCCCGATTATGTTTCAAGGTTTGTCAGCACCATACCCGTGTTTGTGGGTTTCGCCGAAGTAGTAAACGTTTGAGACCTGCATCACTTCGGGCTTTCCACCCAATTTAGCTGACACGCCGTGATATAACTGGAATACTGTTAAAAGCGGCGTTAAATCTCACTCACTCACTCACTCACTTACACGACATAACCACCACGGCCAACTACGGCAAGGCTATGATTGCGTATGCCATCAGTCCAGACAGTGAGAAACCGGTTACGCGCTGAAGGTATTCGCGCACGACGATTAGTTCGAGGTGTCATACTGACGGACTTGCATCGTCTGCTGTGATGTCCAAGGTATTAAGGTAACAGAGTATGGCCACAACTGCGATGGAGACAAGTTTGGTTCAGTGACGAGTCACGTTTTATGCTTCGCTGTGCGGAAGGTAGACGTCGTGTTTACAGGCGTCGTGTGGAACGTTGTGCTAGAATCCGCGTAAGGAAGTGGACAGATTTGGTGGTGGTAGTGTAATGATGTGAGCAGCCATCTCCTACAGTTGTAGCACGTCAGCAACAACCAGAGAACCTACGACAGTTGGCACAAGCAATGCAGGCAAAGTGGGTGAACATTCTCCAGGCCACATTTCGGGATCTGGTTGCTTCAACGGGACGACGATGCCAGTCAGTTTTTGACTCGAATGGTGGACATATAAGACATGGTGAGGTGAAATTGGGTTTAACGTCGCGTCCAAGATTATTGCACTTATATAGCGACGTGCATGCACGTGTATGTGTGTGTGTGGCTGCTTGTACTAGTCCGGACTGATGCCGATTTATAGTGCTAGCTCACTGAGATACCATGCCGCAGTTTAACATGAATACCCCACTCAGACACAGTATACTGACTCCGAGCCGACCAGTCCTTGTTTTAGCCCCTTAATGCCGAGCGCCAGACAGGGTAACAACAAGTACAATCTTTTAACGTCTTTTTGTATGACGCGGCCCGGGATCGAACCCTGGACCTTCCGCTCTCCGGGCGGACGCTCTACCACAAGACCACGGAGGCGGTCTATAAGACATGGAGAACAGATGACCCACACCTTGAAAATCTACTGTTCCATGTGTGCCATATGGAACCTGGGTCAATGACAATGGTGTGTGCCTATCTGGAACAATCGTTTACTATCTGTTGATTATTTATATGACATATAATATACATCGAAAATTACTTTTGCGTTTCTTTTTGTGCAGAGTATATTTTACTGTAGAAAAAAAAATCTTGTAACGATGTACCTTCAACAGTAAAATTCCAGCCTCTCCCAAACCCCTTCCCCTCCCTCGTCCAGAATATGGTCGGTCCCTAGGTATTCTTGTGTAATCAACGCAATACTTGCGCCGACTTTTTGATTGCACGTATATGGTAACCGGAAAATTCACAACACTGGACGATTGAACAATGCCAGGCATCGACAAATGTATGCAGGTAGTAGTTTATCAAAATGATTATCATAACTCCGACATGTCCATGAAATATTTACAGGCACCAATGTATACACTTGACCCTTACCTTCGCTAGGTCTTAAAACCTCCTATTGAATTACGTGTTCAAAAAATCTCTGAAATTCTAATCAAGACAAACAGTTATTTATGGGTGCTATGTTTTACCGCCCGCCTATATATCTCTCAACGAACTGGCCTCCAAATTCCATTTGTGTGTCCCTTGACTCAATTACACCAATGACTCAGCCCTCTAACCAAAGCACGTTAAACCCATGTATCAACAGACCGACCTCTCAGGTTCTCTATCGCCATATCGAGAAGGCTACTATTGATACGCGTGAAAACCTCTTAATATTCTCTCCAATAATACAATCGGGGTGACTTATCAAATAATACAGAAATATAATCTGAGGGCGGATGTCGTATTGGTCCAACTTTAGAAAAGGTCATTATACAGGATGAGGGGTATTATTGGAAGGAAAAGGGATTATCGGATAGTTAGGGTTTCCATGCCTGTCTCGTGTGTTAATGTTAATTATGAATTGTGTTGGTTATCAAATGATTTTGTTTCGCGTTGACCAGTGTTCAAACTTTTAATACATATAAAACGTCAATGCAAGAGAATAACCAGTCTAGATTATCCGCGGAATATATT